AAGAAACCCGTTTTCGAAAAACCAAAAAAAAAAAAAAAAAAAAAAAAGAAAGGCATTCCAGGGACAATGGTGCGACAATGCTGTGAAGGGTTTGGGACTATTGAACAGTGAATTGGATCAGAATGTGTAAAGACAGGGTAGGTATAACATCCATTAGAGTTGTAGAGCCTTGGAAGCTTTAAAGGTCATGCTTTCAGTCTCCATCCATCCATCTGTTCATCTGTCTGTCCATCTGTCCATCCATCCATCCATCCATCCATCCATCTACCTATTCATTTACTTATCTGTAAATATTTAAGCATCTTAGGCTTACCATTGCTGTGATGAAACACCATGACCAAAAGCAAGGTGGGGAGGAAAGGGTTTATTTCACTTTCTCTTCCACATGAATGTCCATCACTGAAGGAAGTCAGAACAGGAAGGCAAACAGAGCAGGGTCCTGGAAGCAGGAGCTGACGCAGAAGCCATGGAGGAATTGGACTGTCTTGCTCCTTGAGGCTTGCTCAGTCCCCTTCCTTATAGAAACCAGCCTATTCCCACCCACAATGGGCTGGGCTCTCCTCTGTCAATCACTAATTAAGAAAATACTCTACAACCTTGTATGGCAGCAGCTGGATCTTATAGAGGCTTTTTCTTGTTGAGGTTCCCTCCTTTCAGATGACTCTAGCCTGTGTGAAGTTGATTTAAAAAAAAATAAAAAAAAAATAAAGGCAGTGGTGGCATATACCTTTGACCCCAGCACTTGGGCAGGCAGATTTCTGTGAGTTGGAGGACAGCCTTGTCTACAAAGCTAGTGCCAGGACAGCCAGGACTGTTGTTACACAGAGAAACCCTGTCTCCAAAAACAAAAAAAAAATCAAGCAAACAAAGAACTAGCAAGCACAACAAGCATTTTACAATGTACCAAACACTGCCATATGGGGTTCTGAATAAGGAGGCAGTGTCGTCAGTGTGAGACAGCAGGCTGGAAAGGGTAATACTGCATGGGCCTCTGTAGATGTCCAGGCTTTATCCTACTGTGATGGGAGTCAGGATTTTACTTTCTTGGCAAGGGGTGTGTACTGAAGTTGTCCAGGTAGTAGGGTTACAGAGTGAAAGGACATGAGTTGTGGTTGAAGATAGTGGGCAGAAGGAAATCTGACATGGATACAATATACTTAATTCTGATAGACAAGGAACACTCTGGAAGGCGTTAGGAGTCCAGAACACCATCTTCCTCCTCTTTCTCTTGTTCTAGGTACCACCTGGAGGAGGAACTCTTTGGGACCCTCAGAATACTTGAAATTGGGAAAGTAGCTAGGGGTAGGAGATATGTAGGGTTGATACCAATGTTGCTTATAGGACAAGAGTTCAAGGTTCCTCCACTAACTCAGAGGAGAACAACTGAAGGCATGGGCTAGGAAAAAAGCAGTATAAGTGGGTGGAGGGACTGAAGCAAACAGCCAACACAGGCAGCTAGCCCAGGCAGCTAACGTGCGCCGAGAAAAGAGGAGTGGGAAAGGGGCAAGGGGGATGAAGCAGATCTGATAATTCAGTTTATGGTTCTCGGCTAGCAATAGGCTTATGCTGGGACTCAGCACTCGGTGTGCCAAAAGGTGAACTTTGTGGGGTTTGTGATTTTGGAGAGGTGTTTTCACTGGATGAGTGCTCAAGGTGGAGGTCAAGAGGGCAGAGAGTAACTTCTGTTTGGTGCTAGTTTTTGCTGGGGATTGGACCTAGGAACACATTCCCGGCCTTGAGGAATGGCTGCGTGACGAGTGAATATTGTCAAAGGGTTGGACAGAGTTCCTCTCCTCTCTCCATGCCAGGGATGCTTGTCTTACAGTATAGCCCTGGCTAGCCTAGAACCCACTGTGTAAATCACACTGGCCTCACACTCAGATATCCACTTGCCTCAGCTTCACAAACGCTGGCATTAAAGGCATGGGCCACCACACCTGGCCTCCGTTAATACTTTTTATCTATAATATTACCTATCATATAGCTTCAGCAATTTGTTGTCTATCTACCCCTTCAGTATACACATTATACGGAAGCAGCATATCGTCGCATGGACAAGTGCCTTCAAAGACCACTTGTTTGGTTGACCCTGTTTGGTAGCCTGTGATATTTTGCTTAAATGTTTCCCTACACAGAGAAGGAAAATAATTCCTATAGGGAAGGAAAAAATTTCCTGCAGGGGAAACGAAACCTTCCTCATGCTGTTCAAGGATATTGGCAACATCAAAAATTCAATAGTTCCTTTTTTGTTTTTGTTTGCTAAGATTAAAAAAAAACAATGTTACAATTACTGAGATTGGGGAAAGGGATCGATACAAATATGACAGGCATTTTAGTAGGTTTTTGTTCCCCCACAGAACAAATAAGGCCCTGTCATATTGCCCTATGCCCTATGTTATAATGGAGTTGACCTCCTCTTAGTAATGTGAGCCAGAGGTCCCTTAGAACCTTGATGCTTTTGCTATAACAGGACAGTTGGTGATTAAACTTAATCTTCCTTTTGCTAAATGTTTATAGTCACAGTTCATGAGGCACTTTGCAGGACTTCACAGTAGCTTCTTGAGCTACATACAATTGTTACCAGTTTTAGAGATGAGGAAGCAGACTGAGAAACACCGAGCATAAACAATAGTGGTAGTAGGAGTTGAGGCAGGAGAGTGAGCCCAGTTCAACAGACTTACCCTTTAACTGCCATTTAGCTAGGATGCCTAAACTAAATCAAGTTAGTCTTATATTTTATATAGCACAAAATTAGGACTCAGAAAGATGATTCTCTTTGATCCCCACAAAATGGGTGTGAGAGCCCTAGGCAAAACTTTTAAGTGGTGGACGATTTCTTGAGCTTCTACTGTCTGTCCAGTACACCACTGCCATAATTGGTCATGGAGCCCACGAGATGTGACCAATCTAAGTGGAGACGTGCAAGAATCCACGATGCACTGGATTTGAAAGGTTTAGTGTGACTAGTTTTAAAAAAAAGAACATTAACTATCTTAATTTTTAATTGGTTATGATGAAATAAATGTATTTCATTTTTCTTTCTACTTCCTTACGGTACTACTTCTAGAAAATGGTCACTTGCATATCTGGCTCAGGTTCATGGTGTCTATTATCTTTCGATTAGACAGAGCTGCTGTGCCTAGTCCTCCATCTTTCCAGAGGTGTCTCTGCTTCCGGTCTCCTGCCCCTCTGTCAGGGTTCTAATGACTTCCTGTGTGGAGAGCAGTCTTCTGCTCACCCACTTCACAGTAAATGGTGCCGAGTGCCTGTGGGTCTCTGGCTGACAAGGAGCATCGCACAGATGGCCGATGTCCTTCATGAATCCGTCTTACACCGCAGCATTTATTCTACAAGGACACACACTAATCATTTACCTAGAGTGAACTGAAATCCCTAAATAACTCAGGTGGAAAAAAATAAGAAGAGTGCCGAATACCGGTGTTATTTATAGACAGGTCTGCATTCCAGATCCCTGAGTCAGGCCCCCTGAGAGAATGCTTCCTTATTCTGCAGTTGACACAGGGAGATTTTGATCTGGGTCATACTCTGAATGCTTGTACCCCCTTCCCAATATCAAAGTGCACAAGTCCTTATCCAGTTAGTGGGA